ACTGCAGCGCCACTTTGGAGTTGCTAAAACGGCTCTTTGCTTACAAATAAGATTGGCTTTTAATTTGTGCATGAAATTGTCCATTTTTATTGCTTTTGAGAACTTTATTTCTGGTCAGGTAAAACTTGGTAATATCTTCACGGCTTTTCAAGGCTTGCAGAGCCTTTTTGAATTAACTGATTTGCCATGGTAAATTTAAAAGTGCATTTTTTCCCAGCACAGAGGTTCATTTAAAAAGGAATATATAAGCTGTAGGAAAAGCAAGGACAAGGATCCCTCTCATGTTCTCCTTCAGATAGATGCACTGCTAAAGGAGGGAACATCTCCATGGGGGTGTGGAATGAGAGAAGCTGATGCCAGAATCCCCTGGAAAATGAAAGAGAAGATGACCTGGTTGGTTGTCTGCAAGATGAGTGGAAGTGAGGCAGCCCCTGCAGCGGTGCCAGTCTGGCACTGAGATCCCAGGCACCCAGCTGGCATTCCCAGGGTGAGTCTGGAGTGTGTGGAGCTCCCTGGCACTCACAGGAACTGCTGGGACATGCTGGGGGCTCCCTGCACCTGGGTATGGCTTGGATTTATCAGAGCTTTTCTTCTGCTCTTGAATTTTGTCCCAACCTTGATTTTCCCAGTTTTTAAGAGCAGGGAGTCCTCATATGAGCAGGTGAGAGCAGGACATCTGCAGGTGTCTCTGCTGGGGAAGGTGACTTTAGGGCTTCCTTGTACCCACCTGAGCTGTAGTTTTTTTAATATGTGGTGGTGCTGGGCTGATGGTTGGACTTGGTGATCTTAAAGGTCTTTTCCACCATTAACCATTCCCTGATTCTATGAAAATGTAGAATAAAAGATTCTAAAGAAATCCTTCATTTTGCTCTAAAGAGGACATTGAAATTAATTTGCTCCATTTTTTCCAGTGTTTATGGTCCACTGGAATGGTCAAATCAAGAAATAAACCTTACACAAACATGACATTTTAGAAAGTCTTTCACAATTCATGATAACGAGCACACGCTTTTTTCTTCAGCCAGTTTGTGTTTTGCCACTGTGTTCCTTGCTGGCACAGGCCAATGTTCTTTCAGAGGACACAGGAAGATCAAATAAAGATGTTTTCAGTCCATGTCTGACTTTGCCCAGCACATGAGCTGAAATTACACAGGCCAGTGGTTGTTTGTGAACGCAGCATCTTCACTCTGGTCAGTTCTTTTCAACCAGGAAATGTGGGGCTGAACCGAGAGCTGGGACACACATCCCAGCTGAGCATTTCAGTCCCTTGTTTTGCAGGAGCTGGAACAAAGGAGCAGCCAAAAATGTGATCCAGTCTCCAGCTGTTCCCACCCCTGTGTGCGGGATCAGCCAGAGCACCCTGCTAAAACCCTTGTTGGAGTGTCCCAGGTGGCTCCAGCCCCCTCCTGCCCCTGAGCCTGGCACGGGAGGTGAGGGGTGGTGCTCAGGGGGCTGCAGCTGCTGCAGGGCAGTTTGGGGGCTGGGGGTGCCCTGGGGGTGCCCTGGGGGTGCCCTGGGGCTCCTCCCAGCTTTGTGCCAGCCCCAAGCACCTCCTGTGCCTGTACCAGGGAGTCTTCCTCAAACTCTTTGCTGCACACAGAATGCATTGCAAGTTATTTTTTCTCATCCAAGGAAACAGAATGGAGTAATTATTAACTTCATTTTTCTGTCACAGCAGAAGAATCAGATAGAAAATGCAGCGTGGTAAGCCTGGAGTTCTAACTTGGTCCAGGAGTTAGGATTCAGTGCAAATCCAAATGCACAAAACCACCAAAATCCAAGATACATTAAACACCTTTCAGTTCTGAAGAAAATGCCAAGTAGACAGTAAAAGCCACAGCAACAGGTTGCAGTAGTGTATAAATCACAGCTCACATCCTCCAGAAAGCTGCCATTTCTCAAATCATAAACCCTGGGTATTTCTGCTGGGGTTCCCTTGCAGAATAACAATCACAGGATGGGAAGCAGTGGGTGAAGTCTTTATATGAAGAAGCTGGAACCTGTCCTGTGACTGGCCCTGAGCTGTCCTGGGGGACTCAGGGAAAGGAGCCAGAGCTACTCTGGCTCTGATAATCTGTGCCTGGGGACACTGGGCTCTGTGTTCAGCTGCTGCCACCCCTGGGCTGTGCCCGGGGCTCCTGGTGCTGCTCTGACCTCCAGCTCTGCAGGGCCCCAGCGCTCCCAGGAGCTGCTGCTGGGGAATGAGGTGCCAGGGAGATGGAGCCATGCCCTGTGCCAGCTCCAGGGGAATCTGCCATCCCTCAGGTGCCAGGGAGATGGGGCCATGCCCTGTGCCAGCTCCAGGGGAATCTGCCATCCCTCAGGTGCCAGGAGCTGGAGCTGCACAAGGGCAAAGCCCAGCTCGTTACCGTGGCTGTTCTGAGACACCCGTGGGACTGACCCAGGAGCGGCTCACGGAGATCTCAGCCCCGTGGTGCTGTTCCACAGCTGCAGCTGGGTTTTGCAGGTATCTCAGCATTTGGCTGAGTGATGCTTCTCTCTGCCAGCAGAAATGATGTGCAGACCCAGAGCCCTAGGAAGCAGCATGTGGAATTAATTATTTAGTAGCTTAATACATGGATTTTTTCAGGTCTTTGGTCGCGCAGTTATCAAATAACTCAGCCTGTATTTTCATGATGTAAATGTGAGTAGAAGTAATGTCTAGCAATTTGTAAGGGAGCTTTCAAATGCTAAGATTGGTGTGACTAATAAAATGCATTTCATTAGACAAATTTTCCACACATAAACCTATTTTGTGAATGCAATAATCTGATATTCTCCTATGTTAGTCTGCAGGTCACAAGAGAGTATGGGAAAATCATAAAATAATTCAAGGCATATAAACTTGGCTTTTGATTCGCTAGTAAATCAGGGTTCTTTCTTAAAGGAAAAAGGCCAATTGAAAGAAATGTGATTTAAAAATTAATACCAGTATCACAAAGCTATAAAGATTTTATTACTTGGAGCATTCCCTTTGTGAAGATGAGTTGGTCTGTCCTTGTAATCTCCTCTAAAGCAGTGTAGGCTGCAGTTATTTATAGGGATCATATAGAATTTGTAAAATGAAGTGTTTCTTTGGCAGCCTCCTGCATGTGGGTGCAGATTCCCAGAGGTTCCAAGTACAGTAACAAAGACAGAAATGTGACATTCCAGTATGTGATCTCTGGCTACTGCTGCAGTGATGAAGATTGGGATGTGCTTTAAACATATTGGCTATTTTAACACTAAAAATGGCCCATTTGCTTTGCAAAGTGGGGGGAGGTCAGTGAGGTTCTGACTGTTCCTGCCCAAACACCAGGCACTAAAAGGATTTCTCCCCTTAAAAGCGCTTCTCTCACAGGAAGCCTTGCAGCCCTGCTGCCTTACCCTGTTCCTCCTCCTAATTTGGGCCCTAATTCCCTTAAAGCACTGTAGACATTTAAAACATTTGAAGTGATACCCAGCTTTGAGCAGTTAATGGGAACAAAGACCCAAAGGTTGCCCTGAGACTAATCTGTCTGAGCACCTCAGTGAGCTGGAGGCTAAAAAGGAATCTCATTTCTAAGCCCAACTGCCCATCCAAGTGTAACTCTGGAAATTGAGTATCTCAGTGTCTCTGTTTGTGTCAAAGCACAAACAGAGAGGGAAAAACATAAAACAAGATCACGTAATTGGGAACAGATAGAAATGAGGGAATTGTTGTTCTTGTGCATTGTCCTTCAGCAGAAAAGCAGTAGATGCATTTTGCCACAGACTATTCTGAGTATTTTCTTAAGCCTTCTGTGCTCTCCTTGTTTTTATATTTTGAAACTGTCCCTCTGCTTCTTCTTTTGGCTGTTGGACTGAGGTCTATTGTAGAATTGATGGCTGCAGTTCATTCCTCAGTTTCCAACAGAAGATGTGTTGTTTAAAATAATGTCTGTATTGTTACTGTGTTCTTTGCTGCAGTTCCAACTTTGATCTCCTTCAGGTGCAGCTGTGGACGTGCAGGGCAGCACTCACAGGGGAGCAGTTTCCCAGAGTGGTGTGAGCAGCAGGGACTCGCTGCCCTCGCTTGTGGCAACTGGGCCTGGAAGGATCCCAATCCCTCAAGGTCAGATGGTCTTGTCAGGAATATGTGATTCCTGCTGGAAATTATTTCCATGAGATCAGATGGATAGATATAATTAGCAGAACCAAACCAGATAGGATTCTTACAGGAGCAGCTGTGCAGCTAACAAAGTTATTGTATCAGAGATTTTTTTTTTCAATAAGTATTTTACACAGAGTCATATTTCTTTTCACAACAAATTGGATCTTATCCCAAAAGGATTTGCTTTATAGCAAAGCCAGACAAAGAAAGTAAAGCTCATGGTTTGTTCTCGTGTCTCAAAATGTTGTGATAGGCTGAACTGTGCATGGCATAATAAAGTGTTCCATAGCCCTGAGTTTTATTGTAAGATTGCTCCCATTCTGGAGAAGCAGTAATGAAATCCCCTTCCTTAGGGGATGCCTGGGGAGGGCTGTTCCTCCCAGCTGTGGTGTGGGTGTGATGTTGGACACGTTCCTGCCCCCTGCTCGGGGATCCCTGCAAGCAGCCCTTCCTTGGGACTGAACTTCTGGGAGCAGGAGATGCTTAGCAGAGAGCTGATAACTACAGGGATACCTGCACAGGAATCCTGAACAGGGCTGGCCTTCCCACAGGAGAGGGATGAGAGAAGAGTGGGGGGCTCAGAACACACTGATCCCTGTCACACTGGAAATACAGCGGGGGCATGAGTGTTATCTGCATTTACCGTGGGGGCTTCATGGGTATAAAGAGACTTAAAGCAATTTCCACCCGTTTCCCTCCCTCTTCAAAATCTCCCTCCTTAGAGATTTCAGATGTTTCAGTGTTTCAGATTGCTCTGAAACAGAGCTGCAGTTGGAGGAACAAGCAGAGGTAACCTTGAACCCCTGAATTCCTGCCTTTTTAGACAATTGAATGCTTAAAGCCAACCCCTGGCACCAGGGAGCCAGGCAGCTGCAGCACATTCCAAATATTGCTCTATTTAAAGCATCCCAGGGCTCTCAGAGCAACTGCAGAGACAAACCTTAACCTGCCATTAAACTAGCAGAGGGGGAATGGCAGAACCAGGTAAGAGGCACAATTAAATGTGAATATAATAATATACTGAAATTAATAGATTTGAGCAATGCAGTGTGAATATACTCAGCTACCTGTATTTTTGTCTGATACACTGTATATATTTTACTTTTCAGCAAGAAAGTGTAATCACTTTAAAAGCTAATTCTATTAACAGCTTGGGTTTCTCCTGTATTTTTGAATCCTACCCTTTTTTGTTTTCTTTATTTTTTGTAGTTGTCATTCCAAGTTAGCTGACACAATAGGACAGTGTGTAAAATGAGTTATGTTTGACAGCATTTCTGTTACACTGTGTGTAGCTGAGCTCCAAGTGTAGTGCCAAGTGAACACAGAATAATTTAGATTTTAACCCCACAAAGCTCAAGTGGCAGAGCAAAATGAAATTTTAATAATGACCTTTCCATTGTAAGCACACTTCACTCTCTCCAAGGAGAAAATGCAGTTTATAAAAATGCATTTTATATCTATTGTAAATTATTATTCACTTAAATTTACAGCTGTAGCTGTGGTGTGTGCTGTGTGCACAGTTACTCAGGTAACACTTATAAAGGGAACTCTTTAATACATCTTCATAGCTACGTTCAGGGTTTCTAAAGCCTTATCTCCTGGTTTTTAATGCACCACTGGTATCTAGGGAGGGTGAGTTTCTGCTAAGGCACACAAGGACACTGAACACTATTTATTTGAGTTTTCATTGGACTGGTAGCCCCAGAAATTACCCTGGTACTGCTTTAACCTGGAGCTCCCATAAGAAAGGCCGGCAGTCAGCAGCTCCAGCAGAGCTGGGACAAACCCCTGTGTGCCCCCAGCAGGATCCAGCCCTGCCTTTGGGCCCCAGAGCAGTGGAACAGGTCAGGGACTGCCTGGGCTAAAGAACACCCAGGTTCAGGGCAGGATTTTTGTGCTGTGGGGCTGTTCATGTGTTTGATATTTTCATGGCAGACACACCGTGCAGTGTCATGGTGAGACAGCTTTGCTTTAGAAGAGGGCTTTAGAAGAACAATGTGGCAATCCTTAAATTATTAAGCATCCCTCTGAGTCTGCCTGCTTGATCTAAACTGTGCAAGGTGTTGTGAATAGATTTACATAATTTATTAATACCTTCAAAAACCTGTAATTCTATTAACTGTGTAAAGAGGGGCTGTAAGAGGTTGTAATATATTGGTAATAATAGGGTCTCAAAGGCTGTTACTCTGCTTTCTGGCAAGAGTGTGCTGTTTGCAGGAAACTGATAGAAGGGTCTTTAAAATTCTGATGTTTTGTGGAGATGTATTGATGTGAGGCCAGTCCTGCTTCCTGTGTGCTCCACAGAGAACCTGGGCCTGCCCTGGGCTCCCCTGAGCCTGCTGAGCAGCCTGAGCCATGGCTCAGCCACCCTGGGACACCCCGGGGTGGCTCTGGTGCCATTCCTTCAGCAGTTCCCTGTCCATGTCACTGACACAGCTTTCTGTGCCAGCCCAGGCCCCGCTGGCCCGCCTGCTTGTCCCGGTGCTGCTGGCGCTCGGCTGGGTCGTGGGCTGTGCCCTCATGGTCTACATTGTCTTCTCCTGAGGCAGGAAGGGATGGCAGTGTCACCCACTGTCCTGTGGTAAGTGATGGCAGTGTCACCCACAGCCCTGCAGTGACAGCAGTGTCACCCACAGCCCTGGGGTGACAGCAGTGTCACCCACAGCACCCTGCAGAGGTGTCAGTGTCACACACCAGCTCCCCCTGCCCTACTTGGCACTGCCACCCTTTTAAATGGATTTTTGTGTCTTACAGGTCAGAAGAACCTACAGTGATGTTGAGGAGAAGAACATGGAAATTCAGTTTGCATTTCTCATGACAATAATACTTATAAAATGAGTTAATTTTAATATCAACAATGTAAATGTCGTGCACACTTTTTATCCTTTGGGAAGAATCACCAAGCCAATTTCCCTGTTCTCAGATTATTTGCAATTGAGGGAGTGTTTTTGGATTCCTGTAGTAGGTCAGACACCTGCCTGCTTGCTGAACAGCAAACTTTTAAAATAGCTACTACCAGCTAAGGAACTTCAAGCTTGCTAGAAACAGGCAAGGGTTAATTTCTCATAGGGTCTGGGCAAATATTTTTAGCTTATTATGGGGAAAATCTCCTGGAGTCTATTGTTATGAAACAGAAACTTTGTATGTCCTTCAAAAAGAAAACCTCAGGATAATTCAGAGCTGGGAGGGTTGTACAGCTAAGTGTGTCTGGATCTCAGACTCACCAGGGGCCCTCAGTGTCTTCTACTGGGGGGGTTTGCCTTCTTAATTATAATTGGAGACAATTACATCCCCCTACTCAATAATAAGCCATGTGAATTTTCAGTGACTTTGCCATTTAAATCACAGCTGAACATCAGATCACTGCATTTTCACTGACAGCTTTGGGCTTTTGAGCATGAGGATTTTTCTACTGCAGAACTGCAGTTCTGAGAAGATGAAATCATTAATAATGCAATCCCCAGTTAAAGCAGAGAATTGATTGTGAGAGGCGTGACTGGAAGATCCCAGCAAGATGTAAGTTTAAGGGAATGTAAAAAAATTCTTAATGACCCTTGATGGGGTTAAATAGAGAATGAAACTATTTTTTTGACTCCTGCTCACACAATTGGTATCATTTTGAGAACGTGAGGAAGGCACATCAGTCAGACATTCCATCTCCATCTGTGGGCACTGTCTGTTGAGCTTTAGGAATGGAAACACAAATAGATGTGACCATAGTGCAGCCATGGCCATTCCTGGGCATTCCAGCAGTCAGCAGGAGCACTGAAGTGTGACATTCCGTTTGGGAATTGTCTTAACCCCGGGTTTCTTCACCTGTGAATGAACTGAGGGCACAGAGGGGATCCAGTCTCATCAGATGTCCTGAAACAGAGGGGTTAAACCCTGGGGATTCCCGATTTCTGCATGGCTGCTGTGTCCTGTGAGCACCTGAGCAGGATTCCCGATTTCTGCATGGCTGCTGTGTCCTGTGAGCACCTGAGCAGGATTCCCGATTTCTGCATGGCTGCTGTGTCCTGTGAGCACCTGAGCAGCACCTCAGGGAGTCCCTGCAGTGGGAACATCTCCCTCCCTCCCTCCCTCCCTGCCAGGGGCTGGCTGCGCCCAGAGCCCACCCTGAGCACACACCTCAGGGTCTCACCTTCAGTTCCTCACTGAGCCCACCCAGACCGATCCAGCTGTGACTCCACAGTGACCACGGCTGTGTTTTTACAACTCACTTCATTTACCAGGCACAGAGGGAAACAGTTCTGAAAGGTCCCACTGGCCCAAACATCTCTTTGGGTGTCTCACAACGCTGGAAATCAAATGTTTCCAATTAAAATGTTAGAGATAAAATGTAAACACTACAATCTGGTTTAGCTTTACCTGATTTTTGAGATCTGATTTGGCGGAACAAACCAAAATAACTTTCTAGGCTGGCGTCAATATTGTCGAGCTGACTTGCTGTATACAAAGCAGAAGTTTCTGCCAGTTTTATGGGGTAATAAAGAGAGGATTATTCCAAGAAAATATGCATCCCCCACACTGTTGGAAGATTGCTGAGCACTGCAGAGTGACCTTTTGTAACCACCTTCAGACAACCCACTTGGGTGTCTGCTCGTGGTGCAGCATGAAGCTCTCCTTACGTGCGGGGGTGAAAGGTTTGGGATTTTTCATTCCTGAAAAATAAAACGAGTGTTTGAGAGCCAGGTTCTTTTCTCTCAGAGAGATGCTGGTGATTGAGGGGAGAAAAACCATGTACATTCAGATTTCTTGCAAAACGCTGGTGCTGCACTATTGAAGCCAGGTGATAACTTCAGTGTCAGGCCATTACAATATTGTTACAGTATGATGCCAGGCTTGCCCTTGGCCTCTGCCTGGATTTCCCCATTTCCCCTGAACAGCTCTTAGAGTAAATCGAGCAGAGAGGAGTGTCTGTCCCCCTGTCCTGGGATGCAGCATGTGGCATCCTGGAAACTTCCAGGCTCATGTTTATATTCTTTCAATGCTCGTAATCCCATTTAAGGATGTTGGTGTACACAGAGCATGACTGGTGCAGAGCATGTCCGTGGTGCAGAGCAGAGCCGTGGGGATAACACCTGCTCGGGAGTCACTCTGGGTGGGACAGGGATAACACCTGTATGGGAGTCAGAGTTTGGGTGGGACAGGGATAACACCTGTATGGGAGTCAGAGTTTGGGTGGGACAGGGATAACACCTGTATGGGAGTCAGAGTTTGGGTGGGACAGGGATAACACCTGTATGGGAGTCACTCTGGGTGGGACAGGGATAACACCTGTATGGGAGTCAGAGTTTGGGTGGGACAGGGATAACACCTGCCAGGTGCGCTCCGCAGGGGGGCGCTGTTCACCTGCCCCCGCCCTCAGGAGCCCCGGGGCCCTAGGAGCGACCCCGAACCGGATCCGGGGGTCCCGGAGCCCCCGGTGTGACCCCGAACCGGATCCGGGGGGTCCCGGAGCGCCCGGTGTGAGCCCGAACCCCAGCGAACCCCGGATCAGGAGGGACGCGGAGCCCAGCAGCGCCCGGCACGCCTCAGGTAGGAGCCCCGGGCGGGTCCGTGGTGGGCGGGCCGGGCCCTCAGAGCCGTCCGGGTCATCAGAACCGTCCGGGCCGGGCCCTCAGAGCCGTCCGGGCCCTCAGAACCGTCCGGGCCGGGCCCTCAGAGCCGTCCGGGCCGGCCCCTCAGAGCCGTCCGGGCCCTCAGAGCCGTCCGGGTCCTCAGAACCGTCCGGGCCGGGCCCTCAGAGCCGTCCGGGCCCTCAGAACCGGCCGGGCCGGGCCCTCAGAACCGGCCGGGCCGGGCCCTCAGAGCCGTCCGGGCCGGGCCCTCAGAGCCGTCCGGGCCCTCAGAGCCGTCCGGGCCCTCAGAACCGTCCGGGGCGGGCCCTCAGAGCTGTCCGGGTCATCAGAACCGTCCGGGCCGGGCCCTCAGAGCCGTCCGGGCCGCGGGGCCCGGCTCAGGTGAGGCGCTCCCTCGGCTGTGCAGGGCCCGTCTGCTCTCCCTCAGTCTCCAGCCCCGTTCCAGCTCCCTCCGAGCGCTGAGGGCTTTTTGTTTGTCCTTGTTCTGGACAAAGCTGTTCGGAATGTTGGTTCCTGTGTGAAATGTTGGTTTCCGTGTGAAAATCGAGGAGCTCTGGCTTCCCCCTCTCTGTGAGAGGCTCGCTCCTGTGCAAAGCCGATCCTGGGAGATGGGAGAGGGATTTTTTGGTTGTGCTCTGTGTTTTCTGAGCTGTGGGGCTCAGGGGCAAGCGCAGACATTTATTTGCAGAGAATTTTTGTTTTGTATTTTCGTAATTCCTATGAAGAACACGCACTGCATTTGGCTCATAATTTCAGTTTATTATCAAAAGGTTTTGATCAGATGACAAACTCAGAAAGCTAAAAGGAAATAGGTTTTTAAATAGACCTATTGTAGCAGTCATCTGAGTTATCTGATACTTGGTTTGGAAATGTCTTTGCTTTGATAAACAAAGCAGTAAGTTCCTTTGCAATCTGCATGAGGATGTTTTATACATATCATTGCAGATTTAAAGCCTTTTACCCTCTTACTTAAAGCTCCTTCACACTCTTGTAATCAGCTGTGCAGCTTTCCTGATGTGAGGACTGACATTGATCAGAACATGTACAAGTAATGTGCAGGATCAGAGCCTAAGCACTGACAGAGTCAGCCTGAAAACCCCAATGTTTGTGCCCTCCACTGGAGAACTCAGTTTTGTAGGCTTTATCTTATTGCCCAATACCATGCTTTAGTCCCATTTCCCAGTTCTATGCAGCCACTGATAAAATATGTTACAATACTTCAAGTCAAAAGTGTAGCTCAAGATTTAAATATAAAAACTATGATTTATACATTACTAGAAACTTTAAAAAAGAGCAACTTTAGAGAAGGCAAGAAAAAGCTTAGAAAATGGTGAAAGGGTCTTTGATCACAATCTTACAGATTATAGGTACAGAAATTAATAAATTACCTACAATTTCAGTTGGGCTGGAAAGCTGTAAATTAACTGTTGTAAATAGGGGCTTCAGGTAATACACGCTGAAGTAATTAGTGAGAAGTTACTTAAGTACAGCAGGTCTTTGGACTCCTCTTGTGTAAATGGTTTCAAGTAAAACTGAAAACATTTGGTAGAACAGATTTCCTATAACAGCAGAGGGTACAAAGTCTGACAGTGGGATAGAAACTGTCATCTCTCTGTCGTGTTGTGATGGCTAAAATGTGTGTTACTGAGTACTTCCCTCCTCCCCCGATCAGAAATCTGCATTCACCGGCCGGGGGGAGATCATGTGTTATACTTTGCCATTTTAAAATGAATCCAAAAAGCCACTGGCTGTGGGGGCAGGATTAAAAGTACAGGTGAGGTGTGGCTGTGCATGGCCAGGTGAGTTAGGTCCTGTGGGGCTCTGGGGGGAGAAGCAGCCAGGCAGGCAGTGCTGCCTTAGTCCTTCGGTGCTGTGCTGGGTGGTGACTCGGGGTTTGCATGTTTACCAAGGATTACAGACATGTCTCTAGCATATTCCCTTCAGCTTTCTTCCCTCCTCCCCTTCTCAAAATCAACGGGAAAGGTCTCTTTTCCTGGAAAGCTCCTTGAGATGTGAGGTTTGCAGTCCGTCACCAAACACGGCACTTCTTGGCAGGATCCATGTTGTCTCTCGTGGTGCATGAAAAGGCTTCTGAAAACTCTGGGGAGTTCTGCAGTGATCCCAGCACCCTTTAAAACAAAGCAACACGCTGTCATTGCTGCTCGCCTTGGTTTGAAACAAACAACACGACCCATATTTTGTAACTTGTTTTGTTGTGTCACCTCACTCTAATGTGGGGAACGCCCTGTTGCTGAGCCCTGGCTGTTTCTTCATTT